ATCGAGTTTAAGAAAACAGATTTTCAAAGAAGTTAAGTTTTAGTAGCATTCCGAGTAAAGAATATTTCGAAAAAGTTATAAGTATGTTTTCGAAATAAGTTGCGAAAAATTTACTCTGATGAGCGGGGTGTTACAAGAAATCTAATTGAATATCATTATCTAATATATTTTTTTATTTAGTCTGGGTGATCATATTACCAAATTTACATTCACGTTTATTTTTTAAAACAAAAATTATTTTTGTACATTTATGTAGTAAGTATTTATGATAAATCATATCATAATCACAACAATCTATATATATTGAAAGAGGTAGTTGAAAAATTATAAATATAGTTCAGGTTTCCAATCCCATAGACAGGAAACTATTGCTGCACTTACTCATAAACTAGAAACTCTGAATGAGGACAAATCATCTATTGACTGGGAAAAAAGGGAGTCTAGAAAAAGAAGCCTAAACTTAGCCCACAAACAAGAGGAACTTTTCTGACAACAAAAGGCTAAGTCCAGGTGGCTCAAGGAGGGAGATGCTAATACCAAGTTCTTCCATGCTCTGAAATTACAAAGGAAGAGGAATAATGCCATAACCAGACTGGTCTCTCCACATGGCAGAATCTTCATTTCTCGGAAGGATATAGAGCGGTACATTGCACAATTTTATCAGAATCTTTTCACCACTGAAGGATGTTGGGGAGGTGAATCCATCCTCCCTCTTATTCCCACATCAATAACAACTGAGATGAATCAAGCCTTGCTTAAGCCAGTGGAAGAAGAGGATGGAAGAAGAGGAAGTTAAAAATTCTTTGTTCAGCCTGCATCCTGAAAAATCCCATGGTGAGGATGGCATGACAGCTGCCTTCTACCAGCATTTCTGGAATCTTATAAAAAAGGATCTATTGGCAGTTATTTTAAGGTTTTTCCAGTAAGGTATGATCCTTAAATACTGGAACAAGACTGCGATCTCTTTAATTCCAAAAAGTATTAATCCTGAAAACATGGGGCATTTTAGGCCTATCAGTCTGTGCAGTGTTGTATATAAACTAATTTCTAAAATTTTGGCCCAAAGACTGAAAGTTTGTTTGAACCACTGCATTAGTGATTTTCAAGCTGCATTTGTAGAAGGCCGAAAATTAGTAGACAATGTTATTATTGCTGAGGAAGCCTTCCAGTTCCTGAATAGGCATTCTTCTGGTCCTAACTATTTCATGGCTCTTAAACTGGATCTTATCAAGGCTTTTGACAGTGTGGAGTGGTTATGTCTGAAAAAAATAATGCTGCAAATGGGCTTTCACATGGATTTTGTTATGCTGATTTTGATATGTGTTTCTTCAGCCACCTTTCCCTTTAAAATCAATGGCTCTCTCAGTGGTTTTATTACTCCCTCAAGAGGTATTAGGCAAGGGAATCCTCTATCCCTTACCTATTTATAATAGTGGATGAGCTTCTTTCTGCTTGGTTTTGCACTCTCTTGATAATGGTATGCTTAAAGGCAATGAGAATTTCCAGGAATGGTCCAATGCTCTCTCACCTTCTTTTTGCAGACGATTCTCTATTTTTTTGCAAAGCAGGACCTGGTCAAGCTGCTATACTCATGAATCTTCTTGAGCAATACAAATTATTTATAGGGCAAGCAGTGAATCTGCAAAAATCTGCAATTTTTTTCAGTAAGAATACACCACTGCACCTTCAGGCATCCATATGCTCAGCTTTGAATGGCATTACACCACTGCACCTTCAGTAAGAATACACCACTACACCTTCACTACATTCTCATGGCCTCAAATATTGATGACATTAAAGGAGTGGAGTTGAGAATTTATGTTATGTGAGAAAGACATCTATTTAAATTTAATGAACCATTTTTTGAATGTTGGTATTTATGTATTAGAAGTTATTGTCAATACCATTCTATGTTTTATTATGTTTACCTTGAATAATAATTATTTTGTATATTTAATTTTCAAAATTTATTCTATTTATAGGTTGAAGTGATACTTAACAATTTAAGAATATTATAATAATGTATGTGGCTAAAACATTATATTCCACGTTACAAAAGATATTGAGTTCAAGTGACTGTAATTACTTGTGGCTATAGAATGAATTAATGTGACTAACATTCAATTCTAGTGACAATATTAACGTGTAATAAGAACCTAGAATCGTAAGTGACTATTAATAAAATATTGTGACAATATAGTGACAAAACCTACTCGTCACTACAACATCAATTTTTATTTCTTAGTGAGGATCAATATATGCAACAAAATGTTGGATTTTAATGACAATAGTTAATGTGACTAAAAGTTTGGTTCTAGTGATGATTATAAGTGTTGTCATTACAACTTTTAGTCACAGTATATATAGCCACAACCTAGTAACGACTTTTAATGTTGCCACAAAAGTATACTGTGACGATATTTAAATATATAATGACAAACATTGTCGCCATAATGATTATTCTTGTAGTGTGTGTGTGTGTGTGTATATATATATGATTTTATAATTATTATGATATCGGACAAATTCTAAAAATGAATAGAATGCATATATGACATTATATACTTTTTTTGAATTTGTTTAAATATTTTTAAATTTATTACATAACTAAATAATATTAATGTATATTAAATATTTATCATTATATAGATATATTATATATAAAAAGTACTACTTTTATAAGTAATAATTATAATAATAATATGACACTATATGACAATAATTTTTTCTTAAAAAAAAAATAATAGTTGAGTATTATGATGAACAAAAAAATACGTTTGATGAAAAAAAATGAACAAAAATAAGCAAAATTATTATTTTTTCTATATCAAACAATAAATATAGATGTTTGATATGGGATACTATACCTAAATGAGCAAATCGACTCACTCAGCTGGTTTAAAGAGTCGAGAAAACCGAGCAGTCTGGCTCGATCGAATAGAATCGAGGAAGGAACTCGTGGTCAGGAGCCTTTGGATTATAAGGCGACCCATAGAAGGTTCTTGTACTTGAAGGATAGGTCAGTCCTAGGTCCATGGAGGATCTGGGTGAAGATCAACCTATCGAGCAATTGGTCATTGGATCGACCACATCGAAGACTGAGAGCAGTCCGAGGATTGACTTAGGCATGGTCGAAGACTAGAGCCTTCGAGGAAATCTCAGGGGAATCAAATCCCCATGTGAAAAGGACACGCGGTGCGACCCGATTAGTCCTCACTGAATAATCGTCTTTGACACAAGCACACTCTGTGTGTACGAACGGGCAGGCTGGGCAGAGCCTCTAGAAACAGATACCTCACCCCTTTATATAGGGGTGACCTTTACGTTTTGAACACGTTTTATCCATTATACTCTTGAGAATTGAGTAGAGTTTGAGACTGACTTAAACATCTGAGGCTCTTCACCGGAAATCATCTCTGGTGTGTTCTTTCCAGGTACGCGACTTTCAACCGGCGATGAGGAGTTCGAGCTAGCCTTTTCCGGTCGATCGGATGTTTTAACGTGCCAATGTTAAAATATTATTTATTAATATAAATGGTTAGCAAGCTAATATATTGTTGAATAAAGTCTTTTATTTAAAGAAAAAAAGATTTTAAGAATCAATACATCACACGGATACTCACTAGTTTGAATAACATCACGAGTACAAAAACATATTTCCAAATTGTAGGCCGCTTACCATGTGGGCCGAACCGCCCGCCCAACAAAAGCCCCAGACCTGCTTAGTTAACTCTGTTTAGGCCCGTCATATACTGGGCCTTCAAAGCGTCAACCCAACTGGC